CTGTATTGTCGTGTTGTGCAGCACCACGCACAACAAGGGATATACTCTGTGGTGGTGGATGGGTCGTCCTACATTGCTCAACGGGAGACATTTACGGTGAACTTAAATGCACGAACATGTAGCTGTGGTCAATGGGTAACATTTCACCTCCCGTGCAATCATGTCCACGCAGTATGTCATTTTTGTAATGTCACCGTGGATCATTTGATTCCAAATATTTTTTCAATTCAGTCCTACATCAATGCTTACTCTGGAATCATAATGCCGCTACCGGATGAGTCTCAATGGCCTACTCCAGAGTATGAGATCCTGAGGCCAACACCACGACAGACCACACGAACAGGCCGACGTACGAGAACCCGCTATCCGAATAACATGGACTATTGACCACGGAGACATCGTAACCAGGAATAGTTTTGTCATGAATTTCAATTATGTCTGAGTTTATGTATTATTAAATTTTACAAATAAGTTAGTCATGGATTGTGTTTTGGCTTCTACTTTTTAATAATAAATTGTTATATGTACTTTAGCAATAAAATTATTGTGTTTTGTCTTATTTACATCTTCTTTATGTACGTTTCTTCTTTATTTTGTACTTAATTTTGTTTCTTATAAGTAATTTAAAAGTAATAGAAATAAATTGTTTTAATTCAGTTATTAAAAAATTTTAAAATACACTATTTTAATAAAATAAAGTTTGAAAAATAAAAAAAAGGTTTATAAAAGTGGATTTAATTTTTTGTTTATAAAAGAGGAGATAAAATAACTAAAAAAAATTTAAAGGGAAAAAAAGAATAGGAACAAAGCAACAAGGACGTTTTTAAAGAAAATTACCAAAAAAAAAAATTATATATTGAAACGGATTAGGCTAATCCGTTTCGTAATTCAATAAGTGAAACGGACTAGGCTAATCCGTTTGGTTAAATAATACGAATCAATACGGATTAGGCAAATCCGTTTGGTATTTTTGGGAAAAGTGTAATTTCAGTTTACATATAAAGGAATGAGATGAGAGCTTTCTACACAAACAGGGAAATGACCCCTGCAGAAGTTATGAAAAAAATAAATGAAGCTCCCAATTCTGAAATATTCAAAGTATAAAATAAATTAAAGTATACTCAATATGCATTTTAGTCTTTTCATCAAATTTATACGTAGTATATGGTATATTCAATATTCTATTTCTAAATTATATTCCCTCCGTCCATCTAAGATGTTTTAATTTTGACTTTTGGTCATTTTTAAAGAGAGTTGAAAAAAAGTGAAAGTTTACCATAATACTCTTACTGAAAAATGGGTGGGGTGTATTAAATGAGGTGGGTGAGGTGCAATAAATAAAGTAAGTGAGGATAATTGTGGTATTTTACTTTTTAAAAAATGAAATGAATTAGTACATATTAGTACTCCTTCTGTCCACCATAGATCTTCTCAGATATTGTTCACATGGTTAAACTTAATTCACTTTGTTTGTTTATTTTTACTACTCATTTCATAATAATATAGTGTTGTCAGTTTTGTAGAATTTTTCATTAATTTATTACTACATAGATTTTATATTAAATTTTACCCTTATATTCAAATAAATTGAATTGAAAATAAAGTCGGTCAAGTCTCGTAACGCGCAATGGGAAGATCTTAGGTGGACGGAGGGAGTAATATTTTAGTCGTCAGTTACATTTTTTCTCATACATTTTACAGCTTCAATTGGAGAAAGTTTTTGATTGGTTGAATATTATAATTTGTTTTTATTTTGTTTATGAAAAACATGGATTAGTTTTAAAAAGTATATCATTCTAGGGCAAGGTTCCCATGACATTGGGAACCAATGTCATGGGATGACCCGAGGCCGCTCCGGTGCTCCGTTCGTAAAATTGACGGTTCCTACCCCCCTAACCCCCCCGGTAAACCCCCCCACTCCGCCCCGACCCGAACGCACCCCCCCCCCCACCCCCTTCAATTGCACCCCACAAGTTAGTTTTGACTTCGGAGTCAAATTTTGACTCCAAAGTCAAAATTAACTTGTGGGGTGCAATTGAAGGGGGTGGGGGGGTGCGTACGGGTCGGGGGCGGAGTGGGGGGGTTTACCGGGGGGTTAGGGGGCGTAGGAACCGTCAATTTTACGAACGGAGCACCGGAGCGGCCTCGGGTCATCCCATGACATTGGTTTCCAATGTCATGGGAACCAAGGTGATCATTCTATTGACTATTCTCATATAAGTTATTAATTTGTTTGTGATATATTTTTAATTCTTGATTTAATTGAAAAAAGTCATGAACCACAGACTCGCAGAATCGAATCGTTTGAAACGAGTCGGGTTAGGGTCAGTTCTAAATATTTTTTTTCAACAACCCGGTGTCTTGATCCGTTTATTATAATTACAAGTTAGGGCCGGGTCTTATGAAACTTAACTCGATCCGACCTCTGTCCACCCCTAGCTACAAGGTGTCTTGGGGTCAACCAATTTTTTGGGACACTATACTTCCTCTATAAAAGAATGCAGTACTTTTTAATCACTTCTTATTTTGAAGAATTTTTTAACGTAATTTTTGAATATATAAATTTTATTTTTTATTTCTATGTTAATCTTTAAATAAAACGAATTGAAAATATTTAAAAAAACATTTTGCAAAATATGTCAAACTTTTAGGAAATATATTTACGAGTACATTGCGAGTGCGATGCATCCTTTCTTATTTAAGAAATCACCCCAAATAAGAGTAAAACATAAGTGATATCCTCAAAATAGGAGCTCAAAATTGAACTCCTCTAAGTAGGAGTGATTATTTAATTTTTTATTCATTTATTCTTGTCGCACAAACTACAGATCCAGCCTTTCCGATTGAAGCACGACTCCCTTCCTCGATCGCATCCACAACACGTGCTCATCTCTGATCTGCTTCCTCCATTGCCACCGCCACCTGCACCTCTGTCATCTACGTTGTGCCGCCATTGTCAACACCTTCAAAGACTCGCTGCTCAGCTGTAGCGTTCAACCCCATTTTGCCGATGTCAAAGATTCGCTCATCCCTTTCCACAATCCATTCAATTGTGACGCCGTCACCAAATCGTAGCGTTATAGCCGCCTCCATGTACACACACTCTCAGATTTTTTGCTGCATCCATGCCACGCCGCCCCACCTCCATCTCCCTCCCTCAAAGCCTTTGATTTCAAAAGTGAGCGGGTTCTCCCTCGATCTTTAATTGAATTTTATTTCCTTCAAATTTTGTTTAGATACTTTGTAATGATGATTTGGGGTCGGCGCAACAACGATGCATCACTCTTGAGGATGGTGGATATATTATCTGACTGCCATAAAGGGGACCGTGAATAGGGTGATGATTGCCATGAGTCATGCACGGCATTGGAGTGGGTTTTGGAATTACGCCTTGTGTGACATGGTAAATTTTGCATTGTGACATTGTGAATTCGCGTTGTGACATTATATATTGTCATGCGTGACATTATGTGGTGCCATGTGAGGCATAATATTGTCATATGTGACACTATGTGGTGCCATGTGGGTATTATGTCTTTCTTTGACACTGCATTTAATGTGGCACAGTGATCACGACTGTGCATATTGTGATTGCGACAATGGTAGGGAGCGGTGATGTCGGCATTGACGGTGAAAAATTAATGACGGTAACAGTTGTAATGGGATTAACCCGATCAGATGGCGGACCAAGAACGTAATATGGATCAGAAAGATATAATCTTGTAATAATATTCTTTGATTAAGTATAGAATTACTTGAGGTCTCTCTTTATAATGTCGTGTTCTTTCCCCTTTTATAGTACTTCTAAAATTGTAATTAAAATTATACAAAATGGGAGGGATTATGGAGATCATGGGGTTGTGATTCCCTCTTTTCCAGTCTCGTTCTCTTCCCATCTCGTCCACAATCTAATGGTGTGGGCCACGTGTCCCGTTCCTTCTTTGGACTGAGTCATCTTAATTCAGCCCATGATCGGGTCGTCCTTCCTTATTCACCACACGCGTTGTAGTGGGCTCTATCCGCTACTGGCGCTTGGCCTCGTCCATTTTATGCTATTATGGGCCTTTATTGGGCCTGGAGTCGGGTCCATCATACCCGATATCCATCAGGTTGGTTTTGACACTAGTGGCGTAGTGGATGCGGAGCAAGGTAGAATTCAAGTGATAGTTACAGGGACGTAGCGGTAGCTATGGTGGCGGCGACAGCAACATCTGCAGTGAGTTTGAGGTAGAGTGCCTTTGCTCTACAGCTTTGAGGTTTTAGGTAGAGTGCCTTAATATGAAAGTGTCTTTATCCCAACATCAAAGTGGAGAGTGGTGTTTTGAACAAAATCATACTATTTGTTTTGAATGAAATGCACGGAGTTCTTCGTGGTTTGTTGGATTTATGGACTACTGGGGTTACAAAACAGATGTTGATAGTGGTTGGATTTCTTTTAAGTTATGGACTTGGCTACAAATGGAGCGCGTGTGGTGATTAGTTTTTAAATGTTTTATTAATTAAGTCAATTACTTCTATTTAGAGTAGTTTAAGTTTAAACTTTTATTTTAAAGATATGACATATGTTTTATTCCTAGTTTGGTCCTTCTCCCTTCTTCTTTTCTTTCTTTCTTTTTTTTTTTGAAATGATTGAACCATTTGAACCTCTATCATAATAGGGATGTTTATGATATTCGGGTATTTGTTTATAATAGGTAAAGTTTATTTGTTTTTTTTGAAAGGATAAAGTTTATTTGTAGTATCGAATATATACAATATTATATTTTATTAACAAATTGATAACAAAAAATCTTTTTCTTTTAAATTCATTAGTTAGATTATATGAAAAAAATTTATCTATTTCACTTAAGATCTAAAAAATCAGTCGATTAAGTCATGTTCAGATTACATCAAGTTCAGACAAATTCAAGTTCATATTGAGAGTTACTCCCTTCGTCCACCTAAGTTCTTCCCGTTACGCGTTACGAGGCTTGACCGACTTTATTTTCAATTCAATTTAATTGATTATAGGAGTAAAATTTTAAAATAAAATTTATATAGTAATAAACTACATGAAAAGTTCTACAAAACTAGAGGTGACAAGACTATATTATTTTACGAAATAACTAGTAAAAATGAGCAAACAAAGTGAGTAAAGTTTGACCCTGTGAATAGTATCTGGAAAGATCTATGGTGGACAGAGGGAGTACACGTTTATGACCTTGTGTTGTCTGTATCTGATTGATCGAACGAGTTATGAATTTTAGTTTTAGAGTATTAAAATTCACATTAGCTATGTACTAAAAAATACTCGATAGTAAATATCAAAATACATATAATAAAAAAAGAGATATTTTAAATATTTACTAGTTTTTAGTTACTTGTAACAATATTATGGATAATGTAAAAGTAAATACAAAGTATGTAACAATTTAGAAGATGATGGTGAAAATACCGTGCAAATATTAAGTATAAATAAGCGGAAGAGCTGTAGGTGTGAACACTTGTAACCCGGTTAGTTATAAATGATAGTAGGACTGTTTACAAAGTACAAGCCGTGCAGGTTAATTAAAGCATATCTCACAAATGAGGCTTTGAGTCCTATTTATAAAAATCTCTAAGCACGTCAAGCACGTCTTTGCTCATCCGGCCGGTCAGTCCTCAACCGGTCAGTTTGTATGCCTTCGGCAGACGAATCCATGTCTGTGATTTCGGATCTCCTCACCCCTGACCGGTCTGATTGCCCGGGTCGACCGGGTCATAGGGCACTGGATTTGATACCTCCCGGTCGGTGCGATAGATGGAGTGGAGGAACAATCAGTGTTCCTTATAAGAGGTACATTTTGTGTGTTCATTATAGCATCTGGTATGATATACTGTTATCTTGTGCCTTGTTGGAGTTGGAGAGAGGAGCTAAGGCAGGTGGGATCCCAAAGGTCACAGTATTTTAATTTCCAGAGGAAATACTCAACTGACCTTTCGGGGCTAAACCACCCGTTAGACTAACCATCCATGGACCATCATTTCCAGCAGATTTACATACCAGGATGTTGTTCTTGAATGCCAAATATGAACCATAGTTGAGGGGATCATCAAAGTAAGTCCTTCTAGGGTCAGATTGCAAATCGGTGGCCAATGATGCACAAATGACATCAACTTTATCCTTAATGGTGTTGGCCGGAAACCGCCGGCGGGTCGGAGCGTTTTCCGGCCAACACCGGCGAAATTGACGCCGGGCACCAACTCCAATGCGTTCGTGGCATCCGGGCGACCTCTAGGGACACCTCAATTGCAAGATTTGATGACGATTTGCAAAACCCCCAATTTTTGACCCAATTTCGAATTTTAGGGTTTTTCGAGTAGAAAAATTCAGATTCGAGAAGTTACAGGCCAAATTAGACAAAATGGTTTGGATATTATTGATCCTCGTCTCAAGACGAAGAGAATGACATTGGTCCCGCCGGAATCGGAAAAAGTTCATTTTCCGGCGACTTTGACCGGCAGGCGGCGGCGGCAGGGCCTAGAAGAAAAGAAAAGAAGAAATGGGGTCAAATTGAAAATTTTAAAATATATAAAATTCGAATTTGGCCTTAATGACCGGAAGTTAACCTAGAAACGGGCTAATGGCTCATTAGTGAAAGGATTGTGTAAGTTAAGGGATTTTTGTGAAAGGATTTGAAGTTGAGGTACCACTCCGAAATTCCAGCTAAAGTTCAGGTACCATTACTGAAATTTACCCCCTTGACTTTGATTTATTTAATAAAACATGTTTTAAATAAAAATATGAAATAAAATATTTCTTGATCAACTAAATACCAAGCTAAAATGAAATAAAAATATCTATTGAAACAACTAAATACCAAGACAAGTAAAATAAATGAAAAATGAAACAAGAAAAAAAAGACGAAAAAAGTCATCACTCTCCTTTAGACTTCTCAAAGATTGAATTTTCCAAAATGTTTCTGGTTATCTCTAATAAGTAAGGTCATATCTTTTTTACCTGATTTGAACGGTTTTAATCTGATTAAAATAAATTCTAGTAAGATCTGATTTGTATTTATACATATATTTATAGCCATTTCTTATTTAATTTGGTCCGCAGTAATTCAAAAAAAAAAAGAATAAATAGAACTCACATTCTGGCAGCCATAACCTCCTCCTCTTAACTCTTTTTTTTGAACAAATGCTCATATTATTAAACCGCAAACACTTATAAGTACATCAACACCCCAACAATCATCTCTATGCCTACTCTCAAACCTATCTATTAAGACAGATGGTTGGATTTAAGCTTAACATTAATATATGTTTTAAGTTGATATCTAATGAACGTGCAGCAGTCCTCAATTGACATTTCCTCCTGTAGCTTGATCCATTTGTTTCTTGCTCTCCAAACAGTATAGCAAATAGCTGCAAACGCAGCTGCCACCACTTGCCTTCTCTTCCTCCCTTTAATCCTCCAATATTCCTTTTGCCATTCCTCATCATTCCCTACATGAAATCTATAATTGATCTATTGACCAATATGAGTTAGTACCTCTTTAGTGAATGTGCATTCATTAAATGATCCCTATCTTCAATAGCATTCTTGCAAAGGACACAAGTGGTATCAATGTTCATAAATCTGCTCAGTCTAGCTTTAGTGGGGATCCTGTTTTTCCAGATTAGCCACTGGATGAACTGATGCTTGGGCATGGTAAGTTTATTCCACACTATTTGGTATCCTTGTGCACAGGTGTTTTCCTTCATTAGCCACTCATACCCTTTACTCACCTCGTATTCCTTCGTTTCATCCATCCCGTGGAATATCTCCCTGTTTGCTAGAAGTCTTTTCAGATAGAAGCAAAACCCAGGCTTAGGTGAAATATTCCATATGGTTTCCTTCTTCAAGTATCTGTTGTGAATCCATTTAACCAACAGAATGTCTTTTTTATTGGCAATGTCCCATAGGAGTTTCTGATTGCAGGCATAGTTCCAGAGACAAAGATTCTTAAATCCCAGACCACCATGTTTCTTTGCTTTGCAGCTTTCCTCCCAACTGACTGGTGGAGCTCTAGTGTATTCAGCTTTAGATCCCCATAAAAAATTTCTGCAGATATTTTGGATATTTTGCATCACCTTAGAGGGGATGATAAAGAGCCTACTCCAAAAATTAATGACACCAAACAGGACTGAGTTTATGAGTTTGCATCTTCCTGCATAAGAAAGATTTTTTGATGTCCATGCAGTAATTTTAGCTGTGATTTTACATACCAAGGCTTCACATTCTCTAGCACAGATCCTACTGTCAGTAATGGGACCTCCAAGATACTTGAAAGGTAGTTCCCCTTTGGCCATCTTGGTCATATTCAACAATTCATCCTCTATTTCCCTCAGTACTCCTCCTGTTACCATTTGGGATTTAGAATAATTGACTTCCAACCCAGTGACTTCTCTAAAATGGCCAAGACTTTCCAGAATGATTTGGACAGATCTTTTATCTGCTTTGCAAACCACTATAAGATCATCAGCGAAAGCCAGGTTAATAATTTTAAGCTCCCTACATTTGGGGTGGTAGCAGAATCCATTTTTCTAGGCATACACCTTTAGAGTTCTGCTCAGATATTCCATAATCAAGGTAAAGAGGAGGGGTGAAATGGGGTCACCCTGCCTTATGCCCTTGCCTCCATTGAAAAACCCCACGTTTTTTCCATTAAGCAAAATAGAGTATGAGGTGCTGGAAACACAGAAATATACCCAATCAATGTATCTGGTTGGAAACTTCATGGCTTCCATGACCCCTTTTATGGCCTTCCAGCTAATAGAATCATAGGCTTTCCTAAGATCGATCTTCATCAGACCTAGGAGAAGCCCCCTTCCTTTTGTACCCCTTAGCTATCTCATGGCAAAGAAGAATGTTGTGTACCAGTTCTCTCCCCTCTATAAAGGCCCCTTGGTTAGGGTTGATAATGTCTGGGAGTACCTTCTTGAGTCTTGAGCTCAGGATCTTTGAGATAGTTTTATAAATGACATTGCAACATGCAATGGGTCTAAAATCAATAGGAGACCTAGGTGACTCATTTTTTGGGATAAGAGTGATATTGGTTGCATTCAATTGTTTAGGAAACTCTCCAGATTGAAAAAACTCAGTTACTGTCTTGGTAACCAATTCCCCTACCACTTCCCAGTTCCTTTTAAAGAAGCCACTATTGAAGCCATCAGGTCCTGGACTTTTAATATTGGGAATGGCAAAGACTGCAATCTTGATTTGATCCTGAGTTATGGGAGCCAGGAGACTTAATTGCTGTGCTGGGTTTAGACATGGACCTGTTTTGATAATGTCATCCTGAACAGGGTCTGTCCAAGAGCTCACACCAAGTAGGCTTTTGAAGTAGTCTACCAGCACATTAGCCACTTGTTGTTTACCTTCCATCTTCTCCCCCTTGCTGTTAGAAATGCTAATGATCTGATTATTCATGCTCCTTTTCTTTACCCAAGCGAAAAATAGTCTTGAACTTCCCCTTCAGTTATCCACTTCTGTTTGGCTTGTTGAAGTTTCATCATCTGTGATGTTTTACTAATAGTAAGGTATTCCTTCAGGCATTCCTTCTCTCTGTTTATCAACCCTTGATGATTTATATCTTCTTTCAACTTTCTCTGGATATCAACAAGTTCATCCATAATGATCTCACATTGAGTGTGGATTTGATGGAACTTGCTTTTATTGAGTTTCTTCAGAGGCCTCTTCAATTCTTTGAGTTTGTGGATTAGTTGGTACATATATCTCCCATCAATGTCTTTCCTCCATATACTCCTAAGCAAGGGCTGAAACTCTGAATCTAACTCCCACATGTCAAAGTATTTGAATCCAACATTCCTCCTATCTTGAGGTTGGATTCTGATTAATAGCATACAGTGGTCAGAGGTACCTTCTTCAATCACCTGAATTTTGTTTCCAAATTGGAGGAACCATTCCATATTAGCCATGGCCCTGTCCAACTTGGAATAAATCATATGACCAGGATTTTGTTTATTACACCATGTATAATAGCTGCCATCACTAGGCACCTCTTCCATTGCACAGTTGATCATACAGTCTTTAAATTCCTTAGTCTCCTCTTCAGTGATGTTGTTTCCTCCTATTCTGTCCCTATTAGAAAGGACTGCATTGAAGTCCCCAACAATTATCCAGCTATCATCAATCCCTTTTGCAGTATTGACCAGTTGCTCCCATAGTCTACCTCTCTCTTGTGCTGAGTTGTGCCCATATACAAAGGTGATATAAAAAGGATCCCCCTCACCAATGCCTCTTCCTTTGCAGTGGACCATTTGATCAATGCTATCCAAGATCATGACCTCATACTTATTTTTATTCCAAGGTATCCAAATCCTACCCAAAGGGTGGTCTTCCTTATTCATAAATGAACCCCACCCTGGCAGGAGTTTATTTTCTAATTCATCAAATTTATTCATCTTTATTTTTGTTTCCAGTAGCCCTACCCAACCAATATCATATTTATTAATCATCCTCCTAACTTCCTGTTGTTTCAAGGGGCTGTTAAGCCCTCTGACATTCCAGCTTCCAATCATGTAAGGAAGGGATAGTGCCCCTCATATGGGCTTTTCTCCATTACTTTCATAAGAGCAATCAATGGATCTTCTTCTTCATTCTCTACAAATTTCTTCTTGGCAGCTTTCCTGTCACTAACTTCAGTGAATCCCTCATCCTCATGGGCTGAATTTTCTATCCCCCTTCCTTCCTCATTATCTTTCTTTCTCTCATTGGATTCTGGATCAGTAGTAGCCTTTGGTTTCCATATCAGTTTCCTCCTCCTCTTAACTCTATCTATAAAGACATGTGAGCATTTTCAGGAACCATGTTCCCTCTCAAAGTGATTGGGCCGGGCACAAAATTAAATGTGTCGGGCAAAAATAATGGGCCAACAAGCCGTGCAGGAGACTCCCATGCATTTCGGGCAGCTATGTTTCTTTTTTTCTTTTTTTTTCTCTACATTTTTGCCATATCAAATCTGAATAAAGATTTTTTAGATATAAAATTAATTATCAAGGACAACTTAATAAATTTTTTGTTTATTTATTTTTTTTAAAAAAAAAGGTTAAGTCCCCTAAAGAACTACATCCAAGAAATAACTCTTAGAGTCCATTTGGTATATACAGAATTGATGGAATTGGAATTGAATTGGAATTTGAATTCAATGGGATCCAATTCCATAGAATTGAATTCACTCATTTCAATTCAGTTTTTGCATTATCAATTCCAAATCTACAGAATATGTGTGCTACCAAACACAAGAATTGGAATTGAAATCCTCAATTCCAATTCCATAATTTGAATTCCGTGTACCAAACGGGGCCTTAAATTCAAGAGAATGGTCCGGGTATGCATGCAAGCTGCGGATGAGCATGTTCTATCTATTTGACTTATTAGTTTTTAGCACAAATAACTCCATAATATAAAATCTAGTTAAGCGCGCACTACGTCCACGGAATAAGCTTTAAATTCAAAGGAATACTAATTTAGTTGCATGTTCGTGATCTCCGCAACCTGGTGAGTAACATACTAGTCAATCCCAAGATGATTCCTTACAACGGTGTGGCTCCACATACTCGACTTCTTCCAGCCCTAAAATAATAAGAGATCATCAAACTCTACATGATATATGTTTTTTTTAAGGAACTACACGATATATGTTAATGTTTCTTTAAGAAGAAAACACGGAGAATGCATCTTGTGGAGAGAAATGAAAATAAAATCTAGCCGTTGGATCTGATGCATTGCGCGGCTCAGATTGCATCCTGCGCTCAGATTTTGAGATAGTGCATTTTCAAAGAATTTTGGTGCATTTCGACATAATGCATTTTCAAACCATTTTGGTGCACCTAATTTTGATGCAATCCTGACCCTTAGATCTCACAATCTAAAGCACGAGATTCATTCTCATTTCTCTCCTAAGATCGCATTCTCACCAGAACCAAAGTCTATAAGAGAGGAGAGAGAAGAAGACTTCACCAGCGACTTCATCCGCCTCTTCCTCAGTCAAGTAAGCACTAAAGCAATGGCGATAACGGCCACCCTTGTAAATGTCTTCAAAATTAGACTCACTACTGCAGAACACGCGCCATAACATTGTCAAACACGGAGTGAGTAGTTTTGAAATAAAAACACACACCACATCCATTTACAAAATAAGGCATCGAGAAATGAGTCTCTCACCGATTGAGTGTGTCTAGCAGCAAAGCTATCTGATCATCAGCATGCATATCATTTACCAAGTTTACTGTGTACCACTGCAGTTGCACACGGTACATATCAGACAATGCTACGGAGTACAACTCAATTTTATCATGAAAAGAACGGGAAAGTGCATACAATCCAAAAATGATCTTAACTTGACAAGTTACATCCAATTCAACATATAGCATCACAAAAGCCCAGAGACATATCATGTTAAATTTTGAACATATATTCAAATGGGAACGGATTGAACATAAATGTTAATAATAATAATACATTGAACAATGACTTCTCCCAAAAATTGGCTCAAAACTCAACGTTCTTACCGCAACCATAGCATATTCAACATTCCATTTTTTAAGGTGTGTTTGGTTGGGCGTAAAATAATTTCCTAGAAAATTTTGATTCCATTTTCATGTGTTTGGTGACATTAGTGGAAGGAAAATGTTTTCCTACCAAACAATGGATTATATGATTGAAGAATAATTTTCTTTGGAATTATTTTCCTTTGGAAAATATTTTTCAAAGAAAATATTTTACCCCAAACCAAACTCAACCTAAATTAAAGAGCAACTCTTTTATAGCCAAGTTGGAAATCTGGCACAATGGTGAATTTGGTGGCAAAAACTAACTCTAGAGCACAAATATGGAATTACACAACTAGTATTGGGATTTAGGGAGGTTATATTTTAATGAGATTTTAGGGTCAAGCCTCATTGCCTTCAATTTTACCCCCAAAAGCAAACCATTTACACATCAGATTCAAAAGACCATGTAAATAGTACTTAGAATACAAACCCGTTTCCCAGCTGCATCCAGAGCAGGATAATACTCATATTCTTCAAAAGGATCATCATAATCACTGCTGCAATAGTCGTCGGAGTCCCCTGAAGAGACGTTGAACAATGAATCCAGAGAAACCATCAATGCAACACGCGCGCACACACACACACACACAAGGTTCTGGTTTTGTTAAGGGGTAGAAAAAAACACCAAGTTGAAACAATATAAATAATATGGAATAGTAATATTAGTAGAGCTACTCTATGTTTTAAACATAGGGGTCACACTGCGTACATTAGACCCACCTTACCCCGCAATGACCGTTGAGGCACTGGGGTAATGTTGTTGTGACTGTTGTCATAGTAGTCAAAATTACAATCCAGATCGTACGATTGTACGATTCCACTGATTGAATTGGGTTATCGATTCAAGCTACATGCTAGCTCGGAAAATGATATGGTCCGACTAGGGGAATAGGAACTATCAATTTTATGAACACAGCACCATAGTTGCCCCAAAACCACTGGGGTGGTGTCATGAATCGGTGTCATCACGCACACGCACACGCACACACATATGTGTTTGTGTGTGTGTGTGTATATATACACACATACATACATACATACATATATATATATATGTATGTGTGTGTATATATATATATATATATATGTATGTATGTATGTATCTATATATAGACACGCGCGCGCGCGAAGGATTGTACAGTCCAATTCATGATCTTACGAGTTACAATCTTTATTAAGTCCATCGATCCTACATAGAATCTCAAGTTTGACTACCTTGGGAATGGGAATGGGAGTGAAAGGCAAAACTAGCGTAGAGGCATTGGAGAAAAATGCGTTGAGGCTTATGCCTCAAGGCAAAATGAGGGTTAAGCCTCAATTCAAGTAGACAAAATAATACTAAAATAAATACTCCAAAGTAAAAAAATGCATAAAGCAATAACCATATCAATCATGTCATAAAATCATACAATGGTCATTTTTAAGATTTAAAATACAGGAAAAAAATGAGAAAATTGGATTTAAAGCAATTTCAAAACCAAAATTAGTCTAATACATTTAAAGTTCAACTACAAATATAGATGAAAATTTAAGTTAAGCAAACTTCTGAGAAATTAAATAAAAATCAAAGATTAAGAGGGAGAGTGATATTGCAAAAAAATAACACCCCCACGGCATTGTGGGGCATGCGCCTCATATATCACTACTGAGGCTTAAAGTCACCGCCTCAGATGCCGTTTAAAACCTTGATGATGATGATGATGATGATGATGATTATAACAATAATAATAATAATAATAAGCAACATAGATATGAGATAACATGAATGATTTTTGGAAAACGCAAGTAAAAGTAATACCTGTTTTGCTTGTTGCAAGGTCCTGCTCCAAACCTGTTTATAAGTAATTAGTAAAAGAATGAGACTCTACACGACAGAAAAATGCTCCAAGCTATACTCTATTTTTGGTAAAAACCTATTGGGTTACCATATTTTACAAAACGCTCCACGAGCACTTAAAATTTGTTGTAATGTACTCCGAGGGTACATTCCATAAATTCCATCATAGGAGGGGTGAATTGACCGGAATACCCATAAAAATTCAATTTCGAACCACTCTTCTTTTTATTCTTCTTTCCTTTTCCAAAATAACATTTTTAAGAATTTACTATGTTTTCAATGTAAATGTTTTGCTAATTTTTAGTCATTCTTTCTAGTCTTTTGTTCAGCCTTTTTATTAGTATCTGTTTACTTTTGTTACAATTTAATTCTATTTCATGTTTTTTATTTTTTAGAATGTTGATTCTTGTAGGTTACACAGATAAAATTAATCACATCCAAACCAAGTTAGAATAATTGTGGATAGAGTCAATCAAAATTAACAACTGTCCCCAAAAGAAGGTTGGCAAAAAAGTAGAGGAAGATTCGCCATCATAGTTTGTAAGGCGGCAAGGCGAGGCGAGGCGCGCCAATGCACCTTCATATCGCCTAGGCGGCTAGGCGCGCGCCTAGGCGACGACTAGGCGACATACATACCTACATGTATATATATATGTGTGTGTGTGTGTGTGTGCGCGTGTATATTTATTTATTTATATTTATATATGTATATATAGGTCTTTTACATTTTAAGGAAATGGGCTGCACTAAAAAAATGGGTTTAAGTCTATTTGGCTACACTAAAAAAAATGGGCTGCACTAAAAATGGGTTTTTTCAAAATGTTTAAGTGGCCCAAGGCATCAAGGCGAGGTAAGGCGAATTAAGGCGGGGTAAGGCGAGGAAAGGCGACGCCTAGGCGACCGCCTGGTCGCCTTATGGTTTTCTAGGCGAGGCGAGCAGACAAGGCGATCCAGTGATGGCGCCTTATCGCCTAGGCGACGCCTTACAAACTATGTTCGCCATAAAGGTTAGTGTTATCTCTGACATTAAATAAAAAAACATTCTGATTCCACAAACATCACATTCCATGAATCTTTTTCTACTATCCAAATTCTCAAGAAGAAACATACTGATTTTTTTCAAGTTTGTTCCAAATCTTCAACTGATCTCACCCATATGAAATAACTCTGACACTACAGTATCAACACTTGAATCTGTCACATCACAACTCAATATGGTGCCACAACTGCCTCCATTACAAGTTTATCAGTCACCCAAGTCCTCCTCTAGACGTTCAGGAGATTCCATCTAAAGCACTTCATCATGTGCTTTGGAGCCAAACCACAACACTCTATAGATTGCTTCCCAAGAATGTACACAATCCACTCTTAACCCATATCTCATTTCTAATTTTCTCAACTATCAATAAGTCACTACTTAACATATTTCACTTCTCATCTTTCTGTTGCTCTAATTCCAAAGAGAAATCATGTGGCTCTTCCACATCTGGACAAGAGATGGGCAATGGCGATAGAGAAATGGAGACTCTTCAGTCTAGTGGCACATGGAAAGTTGTCCCACTCCCACCAAACAAGATAGTGGTAGGATGTTGATGGATCTAAACAGTGAAAGATGGTGTGTATGCTGAATGGTAATATTGAGTATCGATCGCCTTAAGGGCACAATTGGTTCCACCCAACCACCCACCCATATTATTGCAGAGATAGAGCAAAACTTAGCAATGGATGCAAAAATGACATTTTGTGATGAACCAATTTAGTACTTTCAGGGAGAGTTCAAGGTTAAGCAAAAATACCTTCATCATATCTCCATTTTTCTTTGTTCTTTCTTGCCTCTGAGAGCCTGCTACCTGCCACAAGCATAAAAAAGATAGAAAATTAGCTCTGAACAAATTCTCACCCAAGATAATAACACCAAAGCCCAGCAGAGTTGTAGAGTAATTGAGGCAAACCTAAGCTCTGTATTTGTTCTTTAAAATTCTGCTGTGCATTGATTTTCCTAAGAGGTCGCTTAGGATATCCTAGCTCGACAAGGCGAACAATCTTCAGCTCTGGGAAGAAATGAAGAAAATAAACAATTACCAGCCTCTATCCATGAGTTATTTTCCTCCAATAGAAAATAAATAAAGAGCCAGACATATGAAGGATAACTACTAGATAAATTCTGTGCTTCTTCTGCAGTCAAATAAGCATTAAATGTTGACAGACCAATGAACTCATGGAAGGAGCGCACTTCAGACTTGTCACTGTAGCAAGAAAACATATAGTACTAGTGAATCAGTGAACAGCACAAGCATATGATCTAATAGAAGTCAGGCCAGCAACTGCTTTTGTTTACCATTTAAGGTTGAGCTCATCCAGCAGAAAAGCTATCTGTTCATCTCGCTGTTTCTTTGTTTTTATTTCTACGCGATACCACTGCAGTTGCACGATGTACAACAGTGTAATGTAGCATTCAGTAATTTTAAGTTTTGAAAACATGTCTAGCACTCTAGCAGTACAATGAAAGAAATGAACGTGAAAATAGTGCAATAACTATTTACATAGAGGTATCAGGTCATAACTATTTAGGCTGACAAACTCAAAGCAATAACACATACACTTCTATACACGTCGTCGAGAAGAGGGTAGGGCTCATATTTGCTATAAGCAGGTTTAGAAGCCTCTCTGCAATTAGCCTCTGAAAGAATATACAAGTCCAAGAAAAGCATCAATTAACAGCCAGTGATAGATAAACCACACTGAAGCATGTCTAAACCCTGAATAACCTTCACCTTTCTCCAAACACAACAAACCACCCCCGGCCCTCAACACACACACACACACACATGCCAGTTCCACAACATACAAGCTAGCTGAACACGATGAAGTCGAAAAAACATTGAATAACCTGGGCGGGGGGAAGCATAAAGATTAAGGAACACATAATTGAAGGAGTGAGGCATACCCGGGCTGACTTTTTGTTTCTTTGTTTTTTTTCTAGCATCGACTTTCCTTTTAATTTCATTTCTTCTGATTTTCTTTCGCTCTTCCCTAACTCGTTGTGGATAACCAGATCTTAGAGAACAGACAATACCTGAAGCTGAGGAAAAGAGAAAAACAAAAGAAATAAACATAAAAAAGGTTCTTTTTTCCTAAGGGGGAATAGAGAAAGGGCCATAGTAGAGAAGGAAACTAACCAAACAATTTAGCTGTTTCTTTTTCATTCACTAGAGCATAAAATTCAAGTGGACTACTGTATTCGTGCATGGATTGGACCTCAGACTTATCACTGGTGTTTGAAACATAAATAATCATGGATTAGGAACAAAAACCAAAATACTCATTCAGATAAAAGTCAAGAAAAAGAAACAATTGGGTTTACCATTGAAGCACATCTTCCAGCAAAGCAACTTGTTCATCAGGCCCTTTCTGCACCCATAATCGTACACATAACCACTGCAGTAGCATCATATAGAGTAGTGAGATGAGATTGATTGGTGTGCATACTTTTTATGTTAAAAGATGTCAAAGGAAATTAATATGAACAAGACCATTTTCAGATGCCACTATTGTTTCTGAAAGAGAATACCNTCTCTAGCTGTGTCCCGGAGATTAGGAGATTCCCAGAAAGGCTGGACTGAAAATATAGAAATTATAAAACAATTAGCCAAAATAAAACCATCAGATTGCATAATGTGTACCGTATATTACAAGATGGGAAACAAAACGCAAGAATATTTAAGGAAACCTTCTTTTTCTAGATCTATGATAAAGTCTTGCTCCTCAGATTCCCCATCAGATTGGGCAGTCGAGTCTGATTCAATAGCATTTGAATCAACAGAATTACCAGATTAAATCCGGAAAAAGGTTAGCCTAAAATCTATATGCACGAAGGATAATACCCGTCATACCTTTATCTTCTTGGCCTGTGTTCTTTTCCGGCTTCAATGCATCATCGGCAGTCATCTGTTTGTATGAGGTAGAAAATTATATTATTCCCAATTGAAATAATTAAGGAATTTAGGGTTTGATGACAAAAACATCAAGAAAAGGGAAAGAAAACTGAAGAAAACTACGGAGTAACTTCTATTGATAGAAACGTAAGAAAACCTTCGCCAGAGATCTCGATACCATCCGAGAATCGAAACAATAGGGGACTGAACGCTTTGACTTTCTAAAACTATTTATCAAACTATTCATCTAAACACTTTGACTCATCAAATTCTCTCAATATAGAGTTTATTTACTCCAATATTATACTATCATAATATTCCTCTCAATATTATACTGTCATCCTCCCAATTTACATTAAGAGATGTTGCACCGCAATGTATCATGATGGATTCATCTTTATTTTTTAGTGCCATGTGATCACATATAAAGTATTGGGATTGAGTTTTATTGAATTATTCTTTATCATTTATTCTAAAATGAATATTTTAGAGATTAATCATTATCAAAAGTTAGAATTTAGTAATTTAAATTTACTAAATTCATCCCAATTTATGTAAATACTTTCCAATGCATTGCACGAGTGAGGCATTATGTTGTGCAATAATCATCCAAAAAAATCATCATAAGTTCACGGATAGAAAAATTAGCCACTGTTGCAATCGTGACCTTATTGTGCTATCATCATCGAATATAGATATCACATCATTTTTAACCTCGAGCCTTGGTAATAGTATTCTTTGGTGACAAACACTTATTAAATCTTACCTAAAATACTATATTCAGGTCTTCAAAACAAATATCCATGTTTCATTTTTACCCCAAAACATTCTGTAAAATTAGTTTCATTTTCAATGGTAAATTTAGCACATACAAGAAAATATAATGACGACAAAGAAATATTAAAGAATACTATTCAAAGGTTCTTATTTAAAAAGTTTGGGATACAAAGTTATCATTAAAAATCTTTGGGGTCGAGATTTCATTAGGATTTGAAACTTTAAATTATCCATTCAAAGGGCTTCATTGGGGGAGGGGTGGATGGGGGTGGGGGTAGGGGAGAGAATGAGGGTGGGTGGGGTAAATGAACTCGATGAATTAGGGTCCGTTTCGTAGGACTTATTTTTTCTACTTATTACTTATTCTTATAAAAATCAAATCAGATCAGATCAGACCAGACCTAATCCGATCAGATCAGATCCAATAAGATCATATCAAATTCAATCAGATCAGATCAGACTCAATCAGATCAGATCCAATCAGATCAAACCAGATACGATCAGATTAGATCAAACCAAATCCACTAATATCAAATCAAAAAAATATAAAAAATAATATTTATATTTTTCAAGGATTAAATAATAATTACTATTATTTGATTAAATCACATTACTTTATTTAAAACTACACACACCTAAATCTTAATTAATATTATTATTTTAATTATTATTATTGTTATATTATTATTATTATTATTATTATTATTATTATTATTATATTTATTATTATATTTCAACTACAAACCATTATTTTTATTAATTTCTTAGCTTGTAGGATAGAAATGATGCATGGAAGCAATGTTAAAGCTTAAAAAGTTATATTTTTCATACTTTAAAAAGAGTTATTTTAAAATACTTGTTTATAAAATAATTATAATATACTTAGTTTTCAAAACCATAAATATTTAATACTTAAAAAACTTGCTGTTAAATTTTAAGACAAGTGATATTAGTGTTTAAAATTTTATATGATTTTTAATTTATAACATGAAATTTATTATTATCTAATATGCATATAGAATGAGATATTTTTATAGAATAACATCAATATCTTCTAATAATTGGTTTTTTAATACCGATTATTTAGTTTTCTAAAAATTAAAAAAGTTTTGATATTGAAAAGATGTTTAATATTATAATAAAAAGTTTAAACATATCAATGATTAGCTAATTTTCTTATTTTACTTTTTTATGTATATATGAATTGTAATAATTTAAAATTATTAACTTTTGTAACAATTTTAAGTTTAATTGTAAATACATTTACACCAGATCTAATTAGATAAAATCAGATCCAATCACATCAAATCAGATTCAAAATCAGATCAGATCAAACCCAATCAGATCTAATCAGATCTAATCAGATCAGATCCAATCGGTTCATATCTGACCCAATGACATTAGGTCAGTACTTCAAAAATTCAGATCAGATTCAATCAGATCAAGCGTACGGAACATAGCCTTAGAGTACTTGAAGATTGAGTAGGAAAATGAACTTTAATCTAAACCAACTAATAGTCATTTTCTCCTCTATGAGAAAATATTTTTCTTAATAAACTATTTCATATCACTTATACAACGTAAATAACATATTATTGAAATTTTTTACAAGAATATTTTTCTCTCAACCAAACATATCATAAGAACTATAATCCAATAGAATGAAACCTTAAAAAATTTAGAATCGATAAAAAATTGTTAAACCCCGTGCGTTGCACGGGTTAAATCCTTTATCCTTTATACTCCCTCCGTCCGGAAATATTCTTCCCATTTTCCTTTTTGGTCCGTCCGGAAATAATCTTCTCATTTCTATTTTTAGTATGCTTTTTAAGACTAAATATCAATAATACCCTTCTATTTTATCACAAATCTACTTTTTTAATACTTTTTTAATAATAAAAAGAGATTTAAAAGTTTATAGTATGTGCATTTTTGGAAATTTTGCATTTTTTTATTATTCCTTAATAAGCGTGCCAAGTCAACACGTGAAGAACATTTCCGGACGGAGGGAGTATATATAAAGGAGACTCCAAGCTACAAGAGCGCGACATTTGGCGGAGCTGTGATGCAACATGTGGCGAGCTAATGAGTCATTTTTTAAAAGACTAAATTTGAGGTGGAAGGTGAGGTGGGAGGGACAACTGGACAAGCCTAAACCCAAAAGAATACCCCGAATAGAAGAACTTATGTCTTCTTCGGTCTCTTCGCGATCTCCCGGAGAGAAACACAGAGAAAATCATGCAATCTCCTTTAATTTCCTTTAATTCGACAATCCTTCACCATCTCCTTTCCTTTTTTATGAATTTCAACACAAATCCAGCGATTCTTTCCGTCCATGACATCCACGAACCCAGCAATTTGTTCCGAAGTATCAATGATTTTTTTGGTGTTGGCAAATTGCTCTCAATTACAACCTAATTTCCGGCGTATCAATGATTCTTTCCTAATATTAGGTACTCTTTCCTTCATTTTATTTACTCCACCACCATTAATCTTGGGTAATTTTTTATGAATTCTATTTTCCTCAAATTGTTAGGGTTCTTATTTCTTGACATAGAAAGAGGTTCGACATATAAATTTTTGAGATTCGACGTTAATTGGTATGTTTCCTAACTTCATATTTAATTTTTTTTCACCCCCCATTTCTCAAATCATTCTTCATTTGAAATTCTCCAATTTTTTTTGCTTATTTCTTATGGGTATGGGTGACCAAATACTCTGTGATTAATTTTCTTAGTCAATTCTGCTTTTGTTTTTAAATTTTTTGGCTCATTTAACGGCATAGATAGATATAATATTTTATAGATTGTGTTAATGATTTACAGAGAATATAAGTTTAGAGAAGAGAAGAAGAGAAATGGAAAATCGAGAGTTGGCTTTTTCTGATATGAATCAATGTTGAGAGCTCTCTGAATACTGGTGATTACTTTTCATCCTTTTTTCCTTCTCTCTTTTAAAGAAATTTTATATGGTTTTCTGTAAGTGTTGGAGGGGATTGGGATTTTATGAATTCCATCAATACTTTTATATTCAATGGAGCTCTTTTGCCAATTCTAGAATCATAACTATTAGTTAACAATATTTGTTTCAAAAGACCAGTTTGTACTAATTCTAATCTTCCATTTAGCATTTTCCTATAATTAGATGGCTTCATGACCATATGGGCATCAAGAGCTTGATAAAGGGATCCTAAAGTTCAAGTTGAAATAATGGATGCCTATTCCTACAAACCATTGCTGAGCTGTGGTTGCCTCTGTGTCTCAGAGGCCATTTGGTTGGATAGCGGCATCGTGAAGCCTCATACTATATTTGCAGAGCACCAAAATCTAAAGTAAGAGCTCTTAGTTCCATATTGTGTTCTAGCAAAATATTTAATACTTTCAACTCACCATGGATATTTTTTAAGAGCTAAATTAATGCAAAGAAACAAATAACCATCCAACAAATTATGAGAAACATGCAAAGTTTGAAGGTAACTAATCCCCTGAACCTCCGAAGGCAATTGCCGAGGCAATCAATTTTCATAATGAACCAAAAATTGAAAATGTAAAGCTCTATAGAGATTGGATGGAACACCTCCAAAAAGCCTATTGCTTTTTAAATGAAAACTCTGGTGAACAAGGGTTTTTAATTTGTTAAAATTGTTTAAAGCAATTAGTGTCCCTTCTTACATATGATTTGAAAGCTTAGGTGTTGTAGTTGCTTCTATATGATTTGCTACATATGCATTGCTTCCATATTTAATAATTCCTTTTCTCTAAACTTCTTCAAAAGTGAACCATACAAACATATTTGCATACAAAAACTTTGATTATATATTTATATAACATATTTTAAATTAATCTTCGTTGGAAGATGTTTGGTATACATATAAGAGTAATCAATAATGCATTTCTTTTTTTTGTTTTCACATAATCTATTATGTTTTCTTTTGTTAAGGCCTACAAAATGAAGGCTCACTCTTTTAGACAAGAGCGTTGATGATTATGTTATGAAAAAAGCAACACTTCATGGTTGAGTAAATGGGTAGTCATTGGAGTATTCACGTCCAACTTTGGTGAAACAACATCTGGATAAGTGATTTTGTGATGGTTGTGTGTGTGTCTGTACATGCCTTGTGATATCTTATGTGAGCCTTCTTATATATATTTGCTTGCAAATACTACTATTTTTTCTACTACGACTACTTCTTAAGACAAGCTCGGGTATTGCCATTGATGAAGTTGACAATCTAAAAAGAAATATAAGTATTTATGTGATATTTGTGTGTTTGTGAATGCTTTCTTTTGCTATATGCTGTGCTTATTTGTTTTTGGGTACTCTCTATTATTTGTTTTTTGGTATTCTCTATTATGAGGTCTGAATTTTCTCCAATTTGAACTTAAGAGGAAGATTTTGTTGATGCATATTTTAAAAACTGGGCATTGGGGTGAGCACATAGTTGACCCAGATATGGCACAAATCTTGCATGCATGAGTAAATTTGTCATGCCACGCTTCATATCATCACCCTCATTCGAATCATGCGAATTATAAATTTCAATGCGCTCCAACGTAACACTACATATTAATAATTTGCAGTGCAGTGTAATTTTTAAAACTGAGTATTGGGGTGAGCAAAATAATCTACCACATTTCTCAACACACATGGGTAGATTTGTCATGTCATGCTTCATATCAACACTCTTATTTGAATTATGTAAAATAAAAATTTCTCTGCAGTCCAGTGTACCACTACTTATTGACAATTTGCAGGACATTGAGTAAATTATAAATTTCCTTATAGATGGTTTGCTAAGTGTTTTCTAGACTTTGCTGGCGTATCTATTTATGAATACATATCCGAACGGGATGAGGATTTGAGTGTCAAGAAATTTCACCCTAAAAGCTATCAAATTTTGGCTCATCTACAATCTGGAATTGTATAGTTTTAATCTAATCATCAATTGATATGATATGATTATCCATAGACATTGATCTTTTCTAAGTGATGGCACTGATGCACTATTTTAAAGATATTGAATCAATGTATGTTTCAACCTCATGATTACCAACATTTAATCATTGTGCTTTAGTTCTACATATTTGTAGAAGGAATGACTCCAATGTTTTCAAGGTTTCCGTGGTGTTGTTTCTAGCATCTTAGCTTATTCATGTAAATTGTGCTCCATAATTCATTCATTACTAAAAGTACGTTAAAATGGATATATTGATGAAGGTAAATTCAGTTGAAATGAGCAAATAAATTGAATTTTTGTATGTGATGCCCAAAAATGTATGGATACAATTATTAATTTGAATTATCTAAAAATATATTTTGTTAATAGCAAAGAGTACTACATTTCTAAAAGGTGAGGGCATGTTATTTATCTTCACTTTAGCAAAAAAGTGATGTCTACTCCACGTTTTCTAAGTTGATTCAGATGCACTCAAATATGAAATACTACCTCCGTCCCTGAGTATTTGTCCAGTTTTGACTTTTTTCAGTCAATTATTTTCAACCTTTGACCTATAATTAAATAAAATATATATTGTATGTTGTGGGGGAGTAGTATACTATGTGTGAGAGAGTATGGTCATTGAAGAGCCTCGAAACAATGTCATAGGTGCAATTATAGCCGCAGGAAATAGAGTCAGAGAAAATGATTACATAACTCAAATAAATTTAATTTCGTATAATGTTATATAGGATTACTCTTAAATATTTCACTGAAAGAATTTCAAATAGTTTAATATTTGACTATGACTACTAGCTTAACATTGTCATTCTAGAGATTTTATTTCTTATTGTATTTTATTTGTCTCTTTCCCCGGTCTATTTTTAGTCTATAATGATGTTTTCTTCATTTTATTTTTTAACGTAATACACATATTTTTAAAAATGTATATATTATTTAATTTCATTCTTTTATAGAACTCCGTACTAAACTATTTTATTTAAAAAATTTAAAAAACCTAAAGTTCGAAATACTATTTTAAAAAAGTTTGAATTGTAGTCGTAGAAAAAAATAAGTGTCATATTTTTGGATTGAATCTGAAGAAGGTATTTATAGATTCATAAAGTTTGAAATTAAAATTAAGAACAATGGTTTGCAATAGAAATAAAAAATTGCAAGGTTCTTTTGACTCTTAAGACAAGGGTCCTATTTTGACACAAATACCTAGGGTGCCCTCCCTCCCCACCGCTAAACCCTGTTTAGGGTGTCAAAAGAACCACGAAAATAAAAAACATATAAAAATGATGTGAGGGAAATGAAAAAGAAAAAAACAAGGGTTGCAAGAAAACTTGTGAATACTCTTAGTTCTAAATGAGAATGTATCAAATTCAAAAAAATTGAAATAAAAATTAAAAGTAATACCTCAAAGTAGCACAAAAAATGTGTCATATTAAAATCAAAATTTATACTGTACGTAGAATTTTCATTTCTAATGTTGGATGTCATCACATTCTTTCAGTTTATATTGTCGATGTTTGTACCATGAAACATCATATATAAAATATCGTACATTTTATTCAAACAATATCCTACATTTAATTACTACCTCCGTCCCTAAGTATTTGTCCAGTTTTGACCTTTTCCAATTAATTGTTTTCAACATTTGATTTTTAATTAAACAAAATATATATTATATATTAAGTACATAAAATAATATTTTGAAAAGAAATTATAAAATAAATCAAATCAAACTAATTTCGTATCAATATCTAATATCATTTTTATTTAATTTGAGGTTAAAATTTACCAATTTTGACAAAAAAAAAATCAAAAGTGGACAAATACTCAGGGATAGAGGGAGTATATTATCATAAGGTCGGTAATTTAGGTTTTTTAAATTAATGTGAGAAAAAAAGAATCATTGGATCACTAATACTTTTTATATTAATATATTTTTGAATTTATACAAGGAGAAAAATTATAAATTTGTAGAAATCCATCAAACCTAGATCATTTATATTTGACCTTTAAATAATATGCCAAATAAAAATTAAGATCCACATTGTAGAATCGAAAAAAGTTCCGTCCGAACCCGTGCATGGCACGGGTACAAATACTAGTACTAGTAAAAAAAGAGAAGAGAATGGGAGCATGAAAATCTGATGCAACAAGACTAGTTGCGTGCAAATCTTAGCCGCATTCTCCACTTATCTAGGCGTGCGCCTGGATCGAAATTTTCTCCTATAAAAAGAGGGTTTTGCCCTTCATTCTAAAATATCATCCTTCTCTCCGGGTCTTTAAGGCCCGAAACTCCTTTTTCTGCTCTTCTTTTAGGCTCTGTTTCGTTCAACTTATTTTTTCTGATCTGATCTTATTCTAATAAGTTCTAATCTGATCTGGTCTGATCTGATCTGATCTGATCTGATTGGATCTGATCTGATCTAGTCTTAGTTATGATTTAATTTAAATTTCAAATCAATACTTTAATTTGACTTTATAATAACGTTTGAAAATTGTAATGGCAATTCATATTATAATACTCACTCCGTCCCAAAAAGTCTTTCCTATTTCATTTTTTGCGCATCCCATAAAATACTCCTATCCCGCCTTGAATGCCAAAAAACTTTCAAAATAGCTTCTACCCACAATAAAAAAGAAATGTTGTAAATTTTAGGCATTTTAGATATCGGTAGAAGTATTTTATGTGACGTGCAAAAAATGAAATAGGAAAGAATTTTTTGGGATGGAGGGAGTATAATCAATATTTTTTATTTAATGATTATTTTTTAATAAAATAAAAATAGTTAATTCATATATTAGAATAATCATTCATATAATATAATGTAATAATATTTTTTACTTTATGATTATTTTTTTGTAAAATTAGAATTATACATTAGAATAAATATTTAATTTAGATATACATTAAAAAGTAATTAAATTTAGATAATCAATATATAGAAGAGATAGTATTTTTATTAAAATATCTCATCCTTATAAAAGATCAAAAGTTTAGAAACTCAAATTACAAGTAGCAATAAAAATATATTTTAAAAGTAAAATTAGATTGACATTGTCAATGTATTTTAAAACTAATTTTCCGACTTCTAATAATTAAGGATTACTTTCTCAGTTTTCTATTTAACCTATTTCTAAAGTTTATTCTTTTTCATTTTTAAGAACAATGATGATGATGATGATGATGATGATGATGATGATGATGATGATGATGATGATGATGATAATAATAATAATAATAATAATAATAATAATAATTCTTGATGGGATCTGATTTTAATAAGTCCTGATCTGATCCGGTTGGATCTGATATAAACTGATTGGATCTGACCTGATCTGATTGGATCTGATCTGATCTGATTGGATCTGATCTGATTCGATCTGATCAGATCAGATCTTATCTGATCTGATCTGATTTTAATAAGAATAAGAAAAATAAGTTGAACGGAACGGGGCCTTAGTCATATTTTAATATTTTAGTTTATTTTTGTTCCATTTGTCCGAAAGTGGCTCTAACTCTCCTCTCTCTTGTAAGTTATAATAATTTCAATTTTAATAAAATATTTTCTTTTATCATGCACTGTTAATATTTAGTATGGGTTAGAACCCAGATTAGGGTCCTGGCTAAATTTGGACATATAATCTGTATATTTATTTAAAATTTTGAATAATTGTTCTAGGATTACTTATTTTTAAATTAATTAATTATGTCCAGAGAAAATTTAATTAATAATTGGAAATAAAATTAATGAAGCCAAACTTTTTAGAACACATTAAGAGGTCACGAGTTCGAAACTGAGCGCCACCCAATTTAAAAAAAATTAAGGTTTCACGTGCAAGGCTCAAAGAGGTCACACCTGCACGTGAGGGGTCATGTTAGAGTATATAACAATCATTCCTGGGCCAGAACCACAAGCTTGAGCTTTTGGTTGAATTGGTTCCTTGACATTATTGTAAAATATGTAACAACAATAGTTAACTCAGATGATGCCTTAGCATGAAGTCTAGTACTATTTAGTTTCTTTTTCTCAAAAGCACCAAGTAGTTTAGTTTATTTTAATTTTCAAATCAAATTGAGAAGACTTCTAGACTCGTCTAAACTTTCGCCTAGTTATAAAAAATTAGCTAATTCCCTTCATCCACTCCTCGAGAGACACGAGACTCGGAGAAAACTAACCCTTCATTAGGAAGATTGACTTACTAAAAAACTCAATCATCAAATGGAGCCGTTGCCGGGAAAAAATCATCATTCCTTTGGGGGATGTTTCTTCTTAGGAGGAAATTTGGTTGCATTGTTAAGCAAGAAATAAAATTCAGTGTCCCTATCAACTGCAGAAGCTGAATACATCGCAGCAAGAAGTTGTTGTGCAAAACTACTATGGATGAAGTCTGCATTGACAGACTATGGGATACATCAGAATACAATACCATTATATTGTGACAACACGAGTGCCATCAGTATGTCAAAAAATCAAGTGCTACATTCTCATACAAAGCACATTGATATCAAACCCCAATTCATACGAGAATTAGTCAAAGATAAATTTATTAGTCTGGAGCATGTTGACACAAAAGAATAAGTAGCAGACATCTTCAATAAGGCATTGGACGGGAATAGATTTAAAACACTCAGATCCAAATTGCGTCTGTGTGCACCTTTTTAATAGTCCTTGATAAATTCTTATACACAAACTTTCAGCTAATTAATGTGTTCAAGATTATTTGTTTTATCTGCTGAAATGATGAAAAGTGAAACAAGAAGGGCTGTTTTTGCATGGACACGTTGCTCAAAGGGAGCCGCCTATTTGGTACAAGAACCAAAGGGTCACAGTTGTAATTTCAAAATTAAAAACATCTCATTGTATCCCGTAAAATCCCTAATCCTCTCCATTCCATGTCTGGAACATCTGAATCGAGAAAATCAAAATGTTCCACTTCCTCTCTCAAGAAATCAAGATGGTACGGACAAAGCTTGCTATACCTCGGCGATGGAACAGCAAAGCACCACTCAAGAAGAAAAAGTTCAAAAATCCCTCTTGGACAAAACTTCTCTCGAAGAATGAGTCAGTTTCAACTACCTTTGCACCCATCTCTGAGAAAAATTATAATTTGATTTCATAATAGGTTGGTATGTGGAATTTTGTTTTTGTTGAAGCTATTTTAGCTCCATAAGGTAGTTAAATGAACTCTGGATTCATACGTGATTTTTTGTCATGCCTTGTGTTCGTTAATTTTAAGGAATTTGGACTTCTTAGCCCCATAAGATGTTTCATTTTTCTTTGAATTTGTTATATAGTGATAGTGTATGTTTTCATGTGCTTCTTTGTTATTTTCATTAATTTGAGGTTGTTTAAGCTCAAAAACAATTATTGATTTATTGAAAATATGTTGTGTTCTTTTATGTGAATAGAAAAAACGTCATTGGTTTGAGAAGTTCATGAAATATGTGAAATGTGCTCATCATTAGAAGAAAATGTATTAAAATGCATAAGGTATTGGCAATTTGTGAATAGATTATGTGTTGGGTTCTACGCTTGGATAGGGCAGCGGAAATAAAATTTTTTTAGGTCCAAACGTAGATCCACCCAGGACCTCTTATGATTATTATAAGTTACTAGTATTCCTACCCGTGCAATGCACGGGTTCGGACGAATATCTTGTCGTTTCTGAATTTATTCAATGCAATTTTTTTCCAGAATAAAGGAAATATACCTCATGCATGATTTATAATAACACAGAAAAGAAAGGCAAAATAAAAAGACTAATATTTGAGGAATTGAATCTACACACAACAAAGTTTACTTTAATACCAAATTTTTTGAAAGATTTCAGGGTATACAACATTTTTTGTATAGCTGCAAGGATTTTCATTGTCATCTAAGACTAACATTTTTAATCCTATCTTTTTCTTCACTCGCGAAACAGCAACATAAACCTGACCATGAGTGAACACTAACTTGGTTAAAAATAATCCAACAAATGACAATGTTTGACCTTGACTTTTGTTTATAGTCATAGCAAAACATAAGACTATTGGAAATTGTCTTCTCTAGAACTTTAGAGGTAGTCCTGGATCAGACGGAACCAAATTCATCCGGGGTATGTAAACTTTTTCGCCCACTCGATTTCCCGAAACCACAATAGCACCAATAACGTTCTTTCGCATCTCGTCAACAATTAATCTTGTACCATTACACAATCCAGATGTTTGGTCAATGTTCCTTAGTAACATAATTGGTACCCTTTTTTTAAAAACTATCATGTGGTTTGGGATTCCCGAACATTTGATTTCATTCAAAAACTCAACTGTTATCCAGTCGCCATCAACACCTACATCTGAATCTGCTTGGCATGATGAATCAGAACTCAAGTACACCATTTTGTCTCTGGGAATGAAGGATAAGACAAATTCATTTACCATTTCTACAACTTCGAGTGTGGGTGCTAGTAGTGCACTGTCTTCAAAAAAAGAATAACTTCTCATATTCTCCAAAAAGTTCGGATAAGTAAAGTCCACTATACTTTTGAGGGGTGAGCTGTTATCTATAATCAAAAATTCGAGAGGAATTTCAACGTCAGCAGTTCCATCAATCACTTGTCCAAGCTTTCCATCTCCAACTTTGATTATCCAATCAGAAAAATCTTGCATGTCTCTATCTATGCAAGAGGACGTTGATGAATGCAATCTCATATTCTTCGTCAACTTAAAAACTTTACAATAAGACCACAAATTTGAAGAATTAATTATAGCACCTACAATTTCCTCTCTCGAAGCTCTGGGTAAAACAGGAAGAATTTTTCTGAAATCACCTCCGAGTACAACCGTTTTCCCTCCAAATGGTTCATTTATTGAGTTTGGATTAGAGAACTTCATTAGATCTCTCATCGTGTTCATCATACATGCTTCATCCCATATGATTAAATTTTCCACTTGAATTAGTTCTGCTTTTGGGCTCCCTTGTTTGATGGCACACGTTGAGCACTCTGTTAGCGCCAAAGGAATTGAAAATCTAGAGTGTGCTGTTCTTCCCCCCAGGCAAAAGCAATGCTGCAATCCCACTGGATGCAACATTCAAGACAACTTTACCACTTGATCTTAGAGAAGCAGACAATGATTTCCAAAGAAATGTTTTTCCAGTTCCACCGCAACCATACACAAAAAAGAATCCTTCTTTTCCAGCAGTCACAACTTCCATTATTTCATCGTATATCTTCCACTGATCTTCATTCATCGTATATTCATCGTATATTTCATCGTATATTCTCCAATAAATACTCCCTCTGTTCCACAAAACCCTTCTGGTTTTGACTTTGGGGAAAAATAAGGAAAGTGTAATTTTGGTTGACTTTCCAATTTTGCCCCTGATGTGATGGGAAAAAGTAAGATGTGATAGTCTGGTTATTAGTAAAAAAGTATGATGTGATTGGTAGGGTATGAAAAAGTATGGGAAAAAGTGGTTTTTTAATAGAAAGTAGAAGTGTTTTGTGGAAAACAAAAAAAACGAAAGAGAAAGGGTTTTGTGGAACGGAGGAAATAGTAATTACCCATTATGGCGATAAATATATAGATGTGATGTATTCCCTAAAAAGGTAACTTGTGATATTATAAGTAAAACATGAATAGTCTCCACAATTATGGAAAGCAATAAAGATTAGGGAGAAATTTAATTCTCTATGAAAATCTCAAAAATATCATTAAATTTTGGATAAAATTTAAACGGTGCGAATTTAGAGATTAGCATTAGCGTTTTGGATAAAATTTTAACGGTGTAGATTACTTTGAAAACGCTAACGCTAAACGCTGCTCGTAGATAGCCTTTTCAAAATACTAACGCTAATCGCTAAAGCTATTCCCAAATAGACCATATATCATTTTTTCAAGAATGTATAAGTATTAGAAAAAGAATATCAATGACAAAGCTATTAAAATTTTAGGTGTGCATATATATATATATATAGTCTCAAGACTAAAGATGGAAAATGGCTTCATAACCAGGATGAGATCCATGAAGAAATCCTCAACTACTACAACACCCTTTTCATGTATAAAGAATCCCACAATGACAGATTCACTGCAAATATTCCTAACCTTATCACTCAGATGGACAACAACAGCCTCACCTCCCTTCCAGATGAAAATGAAGTAAAAGAAGCTGTTTGGTCACTATCAGCAGACAGTGCTGCTGGACCTGATGGGTTTAATGGTCATTTCTATAAAACTTGTTGGGAGCAAATCAAAGTGGATTGCACAAAAGCTGTTCAGGAGTTTTTCTTGGGGATCCCTATCCCCAAAATATGTGCCCAGACAACTATCATCCTAATCCCAAAGAAGGAAAACTCTCAATCCTGTGAGGACTATAGACCTATTTGCTTGTCCAATTTCTGCTGCAAGATTTTCTCCAAAATCCTCTCCCAAAGATTGAGCTCTATTCTTCCCAGATTGATCTCACCTGATCAAGGGTGGTTTGTAAAAGGAAGGGTGATCCATGACCAGGTCCTCCTCACACAAGAACTTTTCCATGACCTTGACTACAAATCTAGGGGGGTAATCTTGCCATCAAGCTGGACATGTCTAAGGCATTTGATAGAATTTCTTGGAATTTCCTTATCACTGTCCTAGACAAATTTGGTTTCAACAATACCTTCCAGACCCTCATCCAGAACCTACTCCACAGCTCTCACTTCACCATCCTGATCAATGGCCATCACACTAAAGCATTCAAACCTAAAAGAGGATTGAAACAAGGAGACCCTCTCTCCCCTCTACTCTTCATCCTTGCATCTGAAGCCTTCAGCAGAACCATCAAGAAGGAAACTACTTTTGGAGCCCTCTCCCCATACTATCTTGGCAGGCACTACACCCCTATAACCCACCTTGCCTTTGCTGATGACCTGATACTCTTCACTAAGGGAGATTCCCCTACTGTCACTAGCATCAAATTATTACTTTCAGACTATGAGGACTGCTCTGGTCAACAAATCAATCGGGGAAAATGCTCTTTTTACATCCCTAAGAAGACCCCCTGGCTACCCAAAGAAGAATTCAAACCATCCTCGAAATGAACAAAGGCAGCCTCCCCTTCAAATACCTGGGCATTCAAATCCATCATGGAATCAACAGAAAACCCTATTGCAATGACATCCTTAACTTGTTTGACACTAAACTTAAAGGATGGTACCATAAGCTGCTCAGTCAGAGTGGAAGGTTAACCCTCATCAAGCATGTCCTTAACACCATGCCACTGCATATGTTGGGCTGCAGTAAACTTCCTAAGAGCATCATCAAATGTCTCCATTCCAAAATGAATAATTTTCTTTGGGGCCATGACAAAGACAACAAAAAGTACCACTGGTCCTCTTGGGAGAAGCTATGCCTTCCTAAGGATGAGGGTGGGTTGGGAATCACTGATCTCAACACTCTGCAACTAGCCTATGGTTTCAAAATGTGGTGGACATATACTCAGAACAACTCCCTTTGGGCAAACTTCATGAGGGCTAGATACCCTAGGGGACTCTCCATAGCCCCAAAAATCGTTGACTCAGTCTACTGGAAAAGGCTTTATGAGGTCAATAGTATGGCAGATAACCACTTGAGCATTGACACCCAGGGCAGAATTCTATGGCATAATGGAGAGGTTGGTTTCAGCTTAAAGAAGGCAAAGAATTCTTTTAGAGAGAAATAGCCCATTCACCCCTTCACCAAACTTTCCTGGAACTCCAAACAAAGCCCTAAACACTCTATCTTCCTTTGGAAACTGTGCTTTGGCTACCTCCCCCTTCCCCACTCACTAACTAGATTGGGATTTCAACTCCCATCTGTTTGTTTCTTGTGCAGGAATAGTGAGGAGACTACCACCCACCTATTCAGGAACTGCCCTTTTAGCAACCAAATCTGGAACTACTTTGAACAAATATTTTCAATTTGCAGGAATACCAGCCATGGAATCCTAACCTACTTGACAAATTGGTGGAAACAAGGTGCACTGCAAAAGCACAACAAAACACTCCTCAATATCATTCCAGGAATCATAACCCATGAGATATGGAAAGAAAGAAACAGGAGGATCTACGAGGAAGAAGAACACACCTTGACACAGACAATTACAATCATCACAAAACAGATCTACGAATGGATTTTCATCCACCATAAAGGAAAAACAACGCCGGATATCAGAATTTATGACAGTTTACCTTCAATTAGAATGGGCGCAATCACTGTACATCGATGGGTATTCCCAGCCACTGGAGTAACACTTACAACAGACGCGGCAATCAGGGAGGGAAGATCAGCTGGAGCCAGCATGCTGTGCACAAGGCACGGCCAATTTCTCATTGCTTGGACCTATCCTCTACAACCAAACCTCCCACCAGCTGAGACAGAAATGGAGGCAGCATACGAAGGAGTACGTAGAAGCTTGTTTCTTAGCTGCCCGGTCAATCTCTATATTGACTCCAAAATTTGCGCAGACAATTTAACAAACTACTCCAACAATGATTTCTTCACAAGGATGACAAGAGAAATGATAAATCGGTCCGGGGGACGGGTCAATCATATCTTTCGAGAAGCTAATACGGCGGCACATCATCTGGCACAACACGCTTTGCAAGAGAATACCTTTAGTAATTTTCATTCATTAGATTCACTCCCAAAACGCTCTAGGGGAGCCATTGCATGTGATGTAACAACTTCTTTTATTCGTATGAAATAAAAATTTTCCTAGAATATATATATATATATATATATATATATATATATATATATATATATATATATATATATATATATATATAGGTTCTGGTGAGAATGCAATCTTAGGAGAGAAATGAGAATGAATCTGGTGCTTTAGATTGTGAGATCTAAGGGTCAAGATTTCATCAAAATTAGATGCACCAACGTGGTGCGAAAATGCATCACGTCGAAATGCACCATAAACCTTCGAAAATGCACTATCTCAAAATCTGAGCGCAGGATGCAATCTGAGCCGCACGATGCATCAGATCCGACGGCTAGATTTTATTCTCATTTCTCTCCACAAGGTGCATTCTCACGAGAACCGGCCCCTATATATATATATATATATATATATATATAT